GACATATTTTCCATGTAGAAGGTACGGGGCCTGTAGGTCGTGCTGACAGTTGGAGTAAGCCATGCCCAGGCCCACGCCAGAACCGAAGGCCAATGGCCACATTCTTCCTATTGGGCATGAAGAGAGAAATCCCAACAGGGAATTGTTAAAATAAAGCTTCCACCCAGCATGTGTGCTCAGCATTCACAAACCCTGAGTAGGCATCACTGCTGACTGACGTGACAGGCCACCACACAGCATTGTAATCCAGCACGCTTATTAAGTGCCTGGGCTGCTAAGTGTGATGCAAACAGCCCAGTCTGTCACCATCTGTGCACCTGAACTAGTTTCTTAACCTTGACAGAAGGAACATGTCAGTAAGGTGTTTGAACTGTTTATTAATTTCACCAACATTCACAAACTTTGGCTATATTCAGTAAACCATGGAGTTTACTTACACGTCTACAATTCTCTAGTTCCAGTCCTTGTCAGTTCTCCATGGAAAAGAGGTCAAGGTGACCTGTTTCGCTTCTAGTCAATATTCCAACTTAAGTTTTCCCAAGGAGGAGACTCAGGAAGGAGCAGGGGCACTTCTGGCCCACTTGCCTTTATTACCAGCAAGCCACATCTCTGGGTCACTTTAGAAATATGTGGGCATGCGGACTGGCCAGCACGAAATGCAGGCTTTTGAAAGGATGTCATGGTTAAGACACCAGGCAACCCTGACTCACTGCCCCCAGGGAACACTGGAGATGTCCAACCCATGCAGACTGAGTACACGGTCTGTTGAGCTCATTTTACAATGGACCAGTTGGCAGCGTTTTAAGCAGACACTGTAGTGAGAAGCTGGTGAAAGTCACTTACTTTTAAAGAAGGTGAGAGAGAAAACAACTCCTAGTCCAAAACCAGTCCCTGCAAAAATGGAAAACAGTGTTACAATGCAGTAATCCAGCAACCCCAAACAAAGGGAGAATGAAGACCGCTCCGAAGGAACAGAAGACAACAGACTCCTTTTGATAACGTGGAAGTTGCTTTCTCGTTGCTAACCTTTCTCACTGACAGGGACACGGCAGTGCCTCCGGTCTATGAAAAACTTTATTCCCTATCATTTTGTCCTGGAGTGTTGCAAGGTGGGAGTGAGGGTGGAGACCCCAAAAGACTATTGTAGAATCTTCTGCACTGACCAGTAGTAGCCGCCTACTTCACCTCACACAGGGAGTCACTAAAAAGCCCCCCTTGTCACTTTGTTTCTCCGGGTGATGCTTAACATTTTAGGAAGAAGGAATGGTCCAGAACAATTCCCAAAGGCTGCACTCTCACACAAGTCAGTGTCTAGACAGAGGGAGAAGGGCTTCTCTTTGCCAGAGCTGGGGATCCTATCTGAGCCCTCATGACAGGCAAAGACTGTATCATGGAACTACATCCCCAGCCTTGTTAACGCCTCACTCTGAATCTCAGCTTGGAAAAAGTTCTGGCTTTTAGGATAAGCTGACTCAGAATTCGTCAAACCCTAGTTCTGATGCCAACTTCAAAATTTCTCATTAGCCCACACGTAACCTACACCATTATTTAGTTATTTTCTTTTAAAAGTGAGTAAATTGAAGCCCAATTTAAATAACAATGTTGGCGTGATCAACTCAGGTGCTAGCTGTATATTCTAATCAAGGGCATGAAAACCTTCGACAGCCGTTCTACAAGGACCCGCCCCACGGTGTCTACTAACAAACTCCTCACTTTCACACAAGAGTGCATGAATTTACTTCTCCGCCACAGCCAAACTGGCTCTTTTCCTTTTCAGACTTATAGACCAACAGATTCAGTTCAGAACCCTGGTGCTCTGATTTGGTTCTGAGACAGAGTCTGGCTATGTAGCCCAGGATGTCCTCCAATTCTCAATCCTCCTCCCTAGCTCTGCTGGGATTATAGACTGCACATTGTGCCCCGATTATTCTGAAGTTCTGTGTGTCTGCTCCACAGCTCAGCAGAGCCTGAGACCAACCTCTTTATGAGTAAGCCACACAAGTCCTGGTTCTCCCAAATTTATGCTGCTGCTAAAATCTGGTGGGTTTCTGTTGCTGTTTTGTCTTTTGAAGAGGCACCCTGCTAAGCAGCCCAGGCTGGTACTTTGAAGTCCAGCCTGCCCTTGGCCTGAGTGCTAGGATTATAGGTGTGTACCGCTCACCGCCCAACTTCGTGCTACTGGGACTCTAAGTTTCTTCTACTGGGCTAGGGATATGGCTCAGTGGTACAGCACCTACCTCCCATGCATAAGGCCCCACGTTCAGCTTCCAGGATATCACATACACACACAGGGACAGACATATACACACGCAGGGGAGAGGGAAGAGGAGAGGAAGGGAAATGGGGAGGGAGAAAAGTAGAATTCTCTAGGTAGTGCAACACAAAACCTCGGAGTACTCTTCAAGCAAGCTAACTTTTCTGTTCTGAAGAAGAAAACCTCACCATGAGCAAGCAAGGTATGTATTTTTGATCCAGGAACTCTGTCACCCATGCACAATCTAGTCGGTGTTAGATTCAGTACAGTACACATGCTATTCACACCAATAGTTTCTTTTTATTCCTTTACTTCCCCCCCCCCCCCAACAGGGTTTCTCTGTGCTGTTTTGGTGCCTGTCCTGGATCTCACACCATAGACCAAGCTGTCCTCGAACTCACAGCCTGGCTCTGCTGGGATTAAAGGCGTGCGCCACCTCCGCCCGGCCTTTACTTATTCTTTTGGTGTGTATGCACTCATTCATGTGTGAAGGCCAGAGAACAACCTCAGGTATTATTCAAGAAACATCAGCCTTTTGGGTTTTGTTTTTTTTGGTTTTTTTTTTTTTTAAGATTTATTTATTGATTACATATACAGAAGAGGGAGCCAGATCTCATTACAGATGGTTGTGAGCTACCATGTGGGTGCTGGGAATCGAACTCAGGACTCTGGAAGAGCAGTCAGTGCTCTTAACCTCTGAGCCATCTCTCCAGCCCTTGTTGTTTGTTTTATATAGCATTTTAAATTTATAATTAACTTAATTTCACATATCAGTCACGGATTCCCCCGTCCTCCCCCCTCACCCCCCAGCCCTCCCACCCCCAATCCACCCCCCATTCCCACCTCTTCCAAGGCAAGGTTTATTTTGTTTGTTTTTTAAGAAAAGGTTCTCTGTGTAGGCCTGGCTGTCCTGGAACTTGCTCTTGCTCTGTAGACCAGGTTGGCCTCGAACTCAGAGACCTGCCTGCCTCTGCCTCCCAAATGCTGGGATTAAAAGCATGTGTCATCACTGCTGCCCAGCTCAGCCTTTTTTTTTTTTTTTTTTTTTTTTTTTTTGGTTTTTTTGGAGACAGGGTTTCTCTGTGTAGCTTTGCGCCTTTCCTGGAACTCACTTGGTAGCCCAGGCTGGCCTCGAACTCACAGAGATCCGCCTGGCTCTGCCTCCCGAGTGCTGGGATTAAAGGCATGCACCACCACCGCCCGGCAGCCTTTTGTTTTTTAAGAGACAGGTTCTCGCTGGCCAGAGAGCCTGAGGGATCCACCTGACCCCACCTCCCCCATGCTGGATTATAAGCACACCTCTAAAGCTGGGCTTTTGTTTCTTTTCAGTGTGGGTCTGAAGACTGAAGTCAAATCCTCATGGCTGAATGGCAGGCACTGTACTAACTGAATCACCTCCTTGGTCCCCAGGATGATAATTAATACTTTCTTTTGTTTTTTTTGGGGGGGGGTGGTTATAGATACAGGGTCTCACTATGTAGTCCTGACTAGCCTGGAATCACCATGTAGACAAGGCTAGCCTTGAACTCACAAGAGATCCATCTGCCTTTGCTTCTTCTGCTTGGATTAAAGACGTGCACCACTTCGGGCGGTGGTAGCAAACTAATCCCAGCACTCGGGAAGCAACAGCAGGTGGGTCTCTGAGTTTGAGGCCAGCCTGGTCTACCGAGTGAGTTCTAGGATAGCTAGAGCTGTACACAGAGACACACTGGAGTGGTGGTGGGCATCAGCATGCTCAGCAGGTTTTTGGTCATTATACCACATACAGGGCCATGCTGTGTTTCTTTCATAGACAGACAAGTACCAAACATGTGGCAACAACAGATTACATGTGTGATGGTGGCACACAGATTTCCATGGTGTTGAAACCGGAACCAGCGGTGGAAGAAGAGACCAGAGAAAGGCAAGTACAGGAGGACAAGGCAGGAGAATTCCCAGGGATGGGCCTAGCAGCTGCTTTAAGACTCAACCAGCTCTGTACAAAGTTAAACAGGACCTCACACCAAGAGGCTGTTCATGGCCCACTCTCTGCCACCAGCAAACCCAGGGAGAAAAAGGCAAAGCAAAGCACCCTGGGTCTCTCTAAAGAGGACGCCTCCAGCAGATCAGAGGTACTCCAGAAGTGTCATTGTCATCACAGGCAGGGACAGTTCCCTGTGCTTTACTGCAGCTGACCGGAATTCTAGTAGATTGTGAGCTGGAGCTGGAAGAAGGTGCTGTGAATGATTCTGACCCTAGGAACAGGTCCAGGCCTAGGAAAATGCATGCGCGCAGGTTGCCAAATTCTAGCAAAAAATCATTTTAAACGTTAAAAGAAAGGTATCCGGCGGTGGTAGCACACACCTTTAATCCTAGCACTTGGGAGGCAGAGGCAGGAGGATCTCTGAGTTTGAGGCCAGCCTGGTCTACAGTGCAATCTACACAGAGAAACTGTCTAAAAAAAAAAAATTAAAAATTAAAAATAGAGGAGATTGCATAATATGAAAGGAAATACTTCTACTACACAAAGTGTTTGTATTTTAAGCTAAATGCAATTACAAAGGAATAAAAAAGGTTGCCAGGAACAGTGGCCATGCCTGTAATCCCAGCAGAGGCAGGAAGATCTCTGAGATCAGACCAGCCTGTTCTACATAGTGAGTTCCAGGCTAGCCATGGCTGCATAGTGAGGCTGTGTGTGTATTCGCATTACTACCCAGCCACTGACCCTTACACTGCACTCCATAAGCCTGTTTTCTTCTTAAAAACAAACAACAGAACACCAAAAGAAGATGAGCTAAGGTGAATTCACTGTTGATGAGAAAGCACTTTAAACAAGGGTCGTCTGAGCACAGCACACCTGTGAAGTCTGCAGGGACGGCTCCAGTTGGTGTCCAGCTGCTCCACAGCAAGCTGCACTGCTGCACTTCCACCTGTCTGCACCGTGCTGCTCTGACACTCACAAGTGGCTTTGGGCACAGACACTTGCCACAGTGTTAGAGCTACCACAGCATGCAGTACAGTAATGTGCTCCTGAGGTTGGCAGCCTGGGAGCACAGTCACCGGGACCTTGCCTCGGTGTGCGGACTTACCCTGTTCATGCCTAAGTACAAAACATGATCAAACAATGAAACCACCTAAGGATGCGTCTCTAAGAATACAGCCGCACAGGTGACACCCTGGATACACAGCTGGCCTCTATGCCATGTGAATTCTAACTAAAATCAGCTATGGCACTATCCAATACACCCTATACTATGAACTATTTTGGTGCCAACTTTAAAATGCAGTATCTGAAAATCAGTAATGCCATCCCAATTTCCATTTCAAAAAAATCATGGGAAGGTCGTTTGCCAAGGTTGGTCTGGTAAGTAGCCAACAGAGGCTGGCATAATGAAAAGGAAAGGGAATTAACGCTGAATGTTACTCATGAGTACCCAGCACCTCCTTTCCAAGAAAAGTTTTTCATTTTATTTTATGGTATGAGTATTTTGCCTACAGGTATGTCTGTGCACCATGTGCGTGGCTATTGTCCATGGTGCCAGAAGAGGGTGTTGGATCGATCTTCTGGAACTGGAGTTCCAGATGGTTGTGAGATGCCATGTGGATGCAGGGAATCGAATCTGAACACACGCCGCCACCTCCCCACCCCCACCCCCCGCAAGAACAGTCAGTGTTTTTAAGTATTGAGCCATTTCTCTAGCCCAAGAAAATTCTTTTAAAACGAACAGTTTTGTTTTCAGTCGTGCTAGTACAAATCCCAACAATGGGAAAGGGAGGCAAAAGGATCAGGAATTCGCCGGGCAATGGTGGCGCACGCCTTTAATCCCAGCACTCGGGAGGCAGAGGCAGGAGGATCTCTGTGAGTTCGAGGCCAGCCTGGTCTACAAAGTGAGTTCCAGGAAAGGCGCAAAACTACAGAGAAACCCTGTCTCAAAAAAAAAAAAAAAAACCAACAAAAAAAAGGATCAGGAATTCAAGGCCATTCTTAGCTATATAGCAAGCTCAAGTGTGTGGTGGCCACATAACTTTAATCCCAGCACTTGGGAGACAGAGGCAGATGAATCTCAAAACAACAAACAAACTAAAACTATGATGGTATACCCTTGTTTTCCAGATGTAGAAAATAACTTGCCCAGAACAACCTATTGCTTATAATAGTCAAGTGTGCCCAATTCTGCCAGTCTTAGTTTGCCACTGTCCCCAGTAATCCAGACACAGGATTCTCCTCTGTTTTCAGCCCACCAATACTACCTTCCAAAGGAAATTGGAGTGTCCAGATTTCTAGAAGCAGTGAAGTAAGAAACAGTTCAAACATGAACCACGTTCTCCATGCACCAGCCCAGAGTGCTAGGCAACCAGGCTAGTAACAAGCCCACACAAAGCCACAGGGCTTGCTCAGATTCCTTCCCAGAACCCTCCTACCACACGTGTCACCCAACAGTCGACCTGGCAGGACTGCTCCAGGAACTTCAGAGGAAGGAAGCCACTGCCATGCTACACCAAGCCCAGGAACCTGCTATTGCTTGCATGGTTGAAACGGTGGGAGGTTCGGTTTCAAGGCAACTTGCCTCACCCTTGCAGCTGGAGGGTAGTACGGCAGATGGGTACTGAGAATGAGGTAAAGGGTTTAGACTGGCTCACAGAGGCAGGCCAGTGAAAGCAGGCTAGTCTACAATAGGGGATTTTGTGCGTCTCCATCTGGAGGCAAGTTGTTGGCAAGGGAATCAAAAGCCCGGAGGAAACCATTTTGGCAATTTTCTTGTCCCTTTAACTCCATGCCTGTCCCTTCCATTTTCCCAGAGGAAGAAAAGTTCTTTGATGCCCAATGCTTCCTAGCAGCAGACAAGTGAAGCTCAGCTCACTGCTACCAGTACCACTCAATCAAAAGACGAGACATGTCCACACCAACCAAGAGCCTCCATCTCAAGAGTCCAGATATGAGACCAGCCAGCTGGCTCCTGCCAATTACACTTATCTGAAAGTTTAACCAAGCTCAAAAACCCCAGGCAGACAAGCCAAACCCAGTTCTCAAGGAACCTTCTCTGTGGTCTTAATTAGATGGGGCTGCTACATTGTTAATTGTTAACAGTGACTCCCCCCACCATTTCTGTATTTGTAAGATACACACTAACAAGACTACTCTGCACATGAAAAGGGATCGCATGTCTTTTTCACATGTAATATGGAACCTGCAGTCAGAGATGACAACAGTGGAATGCTGACAGCCCTACAGAGTCAAGCCCTCGCTCGCTCGCTCGCTGGCTGGCTGTTCAGTTCTCTTTGAAAAGGCAGCATGCTGCTTCAAAGCCGGTCCCACCTGGCCCGGACGGCTCTGCAGCTGCTTCCACTCAAGACTGGCACCTCCAGGCCAGGTTTAAGCTTTAGAACAATACAACAGGAAAGGTTTGCCTTACAACAAAAACAAACCAACACGGAAAGAGAAGAGCCTTCTCTGCCGTTGGCCACTTTTTCTTGTTGTTGCATGACAAGCTCTTTTGGAGGAAAAAGTACAAAGCATTTTTCACCTCCCCCTGGAAGCAAATATTTAACTATGAATGCAGTTTATATAACTTGGCCTCCCGGCTCGGGCATTCTCAAAAGCCCATGCTGTCTGAAATGACAAAGAACCCTCAGGTACAGAGCGGGTGGCTTATCAGCACACATCTCCGCATGGCAGAGGGACAGGGGAAAAACAACAGAGGAGCCTTATGGAATCGACATTAGGCCCAGAGCCCAAGTTTTCTGCAGCCATTTCTTTAGGAGAGGAAAAAGAATTGCCATCAATTCTCTCAAAGGTATTATTCCAAATCATTCTAACCGTGCAGGCTGAGGTGAGTTTGGTGCCCGAAAGCGTGTCAGTAATGAGCAAAGAAATACCTCTTTTGGGGGGGGGGGGGGTAGTTTCTTAACTGGTCATCTGGGTTTTTTTTTGTTGCTGCTGTTTTGGCTTTTCAAGACAGGATTTCTCTGCATAGTCATGGCTGTCCTAGAACTCTCTCTGTAGACCAGGCTGGCCTTGAACTCAGGGAACCACCTGCCTCTGCCTCCTGAGTACTGGGATTAAAAGCATGCACCACCACCACCCAGCTTGATATTAGTCTGTAAATTACTATTATTACGTGTGTGTGTGTGTGTGTGTGTGTGTGTGTGTGTGTGTGTGTGTGTAAGGATTACTTTGCAGAAGTTGGTTCTCCCTTCTGATCGTGGGAGTCCTGGGGAGCAAACTCAAGTGCCTTTACCTGCTAAGCAATCACTGGCCTACCTGACACTATTTGCATGTTTGTCTTAACATTCAAGGTTTAATTTTTATTTTATGTGTATGGATGTTTTGCCTTCATTTATGTATGTGCACCAAGTGTGTGCCTGATCCCCTGGAGCTGGAGTTACAGATGATTGTGACCCACCACATGTGGGTGCTGGGAACCAAACCCAGTTCTTTGCAAGAGCAGTAAGTGCTCTTAACTACTGAAGCATCTCTCCAACCCCTGACACTGATTAATAAAAAGAACAGAGGATGCAATTTCCATCAACCACACAGTACAGATTTATCTTATGCCTAAGTGCGTGTGGAAGCAAAACTTAAAGGTACCAAGTGCATGCTGTACGCCATCACTGGATAAACACGGGGTGCACCATGTGTTGGAGGTCAGTATGAGCACTTCCAGTTAATAGCAACTTCAGTTCAGATGTAGAGGAATCTGCTCCCAGGCTCTAGATTAAGTACAAAGCTCCACATCACTGCAGATAAGGAAATAACCTGCAGGAAGCCCCAGGCAGGCACCACAATCTGACTGGGAGGGAACTGCTTTCAGTGCCAGCCTCTGCACAGAAAAGCTTGAGTAACATGTGGAGGGGCTGTGGGACCCACTCTGCAGAGGCCAGAACTGCATCTCACTCTCACGAAGGATGATCAGTACCAGAGGAAGAACAAAAAGTCACACAAAAACCACCCTAGGACATTTCTTTAAAAAAAAAAAAAAAAAACACTCAGCCTGGCAGTGGTGGTGCACACCTTTAATCCCAGCACTCAGGAAGCAGAGGCAGGTGGATCTCTATTGAGGCTGGCCTGGTCTACAGTGAGTTCCAGGAAACTCCAAAGGCTACACAGAAAAACCCTTAAAAAACAAAACAAAAATAACAAACAAACAAAAATCACTGGCTGGGGAAGAGCCTGGTTAAAAGCACTGGCTGCTCTTGCAAAGTACCCCTGTTTGATTCCCAGCGCCCATATGTCAGCTCACAACCATCTGTAACTAGTTCCGGGGAATCTCATGTCTTCTGACCTCCACAGGCACCAGGCATGCATGTGGTGCATGCTCAGACATACATGTACATAAAATAAAGTGAATAAATATAATAAACAATTTAAAAATAAACATAAAAAATGTCCTCGGGGTGGGGGGGGATAAAGGCTGTAGGCCTGTAGCCCCATCTACTTCTGAGGCTGGACAAGGGAACCCAGGTGTTTAAGGCAAGACCATCCTGGGGGGATGTATCAGATTCTTAAATGACCATTACTAAGACCTCAGTGTATACTTAACATTTTAAACAAGGGTTCACTATTCATAAGCTTGGACCCAGCATAGTTATCAGGGCTAAAACTTAATTTGTATCTAAAAATTAAAGTTGGAAAGCAACTTCACTTGATTTTGCATAGCTCATCTCAATATTAGGGGGAAAACTCTCATGAACTACATTCAACCGGTGGTTTACAAATGTGAAAAACTACAAGAATTCCTCAGTCTTGATTCCCTCAGCACTGTACACCCAACAACGGACGATAAAACAGACAGGCTTAACACTGGCAGGACTACTCTCCTGACTGTGGCACAGTGGCCCCAGGGCAACCCTCCAACCTTGGGTCACTTACTTTACCAGGCCAGGCCCAGCCTGCTCAGCCCCATCGAGAATAGCACTGCAGTCTCTAGTGCTTCCTGGTGAAGGGTTCAGGAAGAAGTAGTAAGCTATTCATTGTTCAAATAGATCTCAAAGACGTCAAAAGCACAATAGTTAATCCTGTCATAGAGTACAACTCACTGACTCACACAGGATCACTTTGATCACGTGAGCCACAGCTCAAAATCTGTTCTTTTCCCACTCAGAGCAGTATGAATGTTTGCGGTTCAAGGCCAGCAGTCACTAGGGCTGGCCTTGAACCACAAACTCAAAAGGATGTGTACCATCACACCAACTCTTTGTTTTCTTTAACAGAGACTCCCTTCAGCTTTATTGTTCAACTGCATCATTTTGCTTTAAAATGTAATAAAGATTTCCCTAGCATTGTCTTGTTTAATAAAACTATTTATGCACTGAAATGGACTGAAACAAATTGACACATTTTCTTGTCAATCATGTTTCTATTGATGCTATTACAGTCAAAAGCATTTGTTACTACAGAACAAACAAGAAAAGAACACGGGACAGACTTCAGTGAGAACCACATTTCCAAGAAACATTCCTGATTTATGAAAGACGCTCTAAGCCCAGCTTATGAGATTAAAAAAAAAAATACAGTTCTAAGTCAGCTCTAAATGGTGCTACTTAATCCTCTAAGGCAAAAGCTGGCTGTCCCAAGTGTCCACAGGTGAATGCCAAGTCCTATGAATTAGCCAAGAAAAGATGCCAGTGCCAGACCAAAGTCCAGGAGCCGGTGACTGAGACTGTGTTGACTGGCTTCTCAGAAGTCACTCCTGCTTTGGGCTCTGTAGGAAGGACTGAGAAGGTGGCTCTTTCATGGGATTTTGCTGGAGCTGCAGGAGCTGTTTAGGTGAAAGTCAATCACTAGGATTCTAAGCAGAGTGGGCAGAGCAGTCAGCAGGAAGACACAGAGGCTGTGTGGAGGTCCTTATGGAATGCTCTGCTGGAGGAACCCAAGTCTTTTAAAGCAGTGCCTACAGAGCACACTTCAACTCAAACACTGTACAGCAGGACCTCAAGAAGGCATAAAGAAACATGGCTGTAGACATTTTACTGACATGCAACTAATTAATTCCCATGTGGAAATACTATGTTGGAAAATAAGAAGCAGCTCGAAGATTTATCATTAGAGAGGCTGGGAAAATAACACAGAATTATTAAGTTTAGATAAACATGTTAAATAAATGCTCTCATCCTGATGGGTGTGCTTTGGCTCTAACAGCAGTGTTGAGCATTGCACCACCTTGCAAGCTTTATTATGACCCATCTCACAGGAAGAAACAAACAATTCAGAGAGGTTAAGTGACTTACTCAAGCACACACACCTGAAACAGCCCAGCTTCAACCCAGGCTGCCTGACTGTACACATCCTGGAGAGCAGATGGAGCTAGATGGAAAGGCCAGACCACACAGGAACCCAAGTTCTGGAGGTAGCAGACATTCCTGAAGAGGCGGAAAAGGAGTAACATGATTGAAGTTGCACCCCGGTCATCTGAGAGGTGTGGGAACAACCTGGAGTGCAAGAGATACTTCGCTGGCATAATTCCACAACCTAGCAACTGACAAGTATGAGTGTGTGTGCATGTGTGTAAAGACAGGGCTGTCCATAGCAGACAGTAACTGCCTTTTAATAGCAAATTCTCTCAACTGTGACCAAGTTTTCAAAACATCTACAGTGGGCTAGAGAGGCGGCTCAGCAGTTAAAGAGTACTGGTTGCTCTTCCAGAGACCTGGGTTAGATTCCCAGCACTCACATGGCAGCTCACAACCTGTAACTCCAGTCCCAAGGGATCTAATGCCCTCTTCTGGTCTCTTCAAGCACTGCACAAATGTGCTATACAGATATAACCAGGCAGAATACCCATACACACAAAATAAAGGTTTAAGAATGTTTTTTAATCTACATTGTGTTTAAGAACTTCACAGTAGCAGAATGAAAAACCCTCACTAGGTAGGCACTTGCATTCCTGGATTCAATTTCCTCACTTAATCTTTATAATAAACTTCTATGAGCCACATTTAAGAGAAGAGAAACTGAGGCTCGGCAAAGTTAAATACTTGCCTTCAGTCACACATGGGTAGACTGGCAAGTGTTTAAACATTATAATCAATTTAGACTCAGCACAAGAGACTAACTCTTCCAAAATAGAGTCTGGCCAGTAATTTGGGCATTCCCTAATTATACCAACTGAATACCTACTGTGTGCTGTTCTAAGCTCTGGGAAAGGACATCTCCACATAAGTGCACTGTCCAGTGTTGAGGTGGGTAATGATCAGAAACTGGAAGCCTAAAGGGCTATGGCAGAAGGAGGTGAGAGTGGGCTGTCAGGAGCTCCCTGCTGCGAAGTTATCCAGCTGGAGGGAGGAGGTGAAGCAAACTGGCCTTTGTGTCATGCTAACCAACACTGCAGCCTCATGGCCGCTGTCCACTGAGCAATGGGGAAGCTGTAGAGGGCTCCCAATGGGGACGTGGCCATCAGATGTACACTTTCACAGCTGACTCTGGCAGAATGAGGATGGAGTTAAGAAGCACCATAAAAGACGGAGACAGCAGTTAGGGTGAGGGAGACCAGCTCCCTCTTTTTCCCCCCAGGGTATTTTCGAGCAGGGAGAAATGAGGAATATGTAGATAAAAATACAGAGGAGGCAGCTAGAAACATAGGATAGCCTCAGGAGGGCCTAGGTCAAAACCCACCAGCCCCTTCTGTCCCTACTAAAGAGCTTTTAAAGGAATGCAAAGGAGTGGAGCAAAAGACCGCCCCCAGCACAGCCAAGTGTAGACTATCCCAACCACCTGGTGACCATGCACGTGGTCAAGCCATTCCTAATGCAGCCCTGCTGTGTAAAGCAAGCTCAGATCTAACTAGGAAGCTTTTGTGGGCTCCCACATTAGGGGAAACAGCAGGAGACAGGATGCAGACTTCAGAGTTCTCTCCAAAGAGGCGGATTGGGTTTGTGGTACTGCTCTTGGAACCCAGGGCCTAAGCAGCTGGGTGAAGTTCTACCCCTGAGCCACACCCTAGGCCCTACGAGCAGTCTGCAGCTTCTTCTGCAACTTACACTTTTCTGTCTGTCCTCAACAGTCCTCCCTCTCCCATCCTAGATTTCCATGCAGGCAAAGGTGGAACCTGCTTTTAAAGTCAGACAATACAAAGTAAAGCCAGGCTTGGGTGGCACTAGGAACTTCTAAGGATCAGGGGTGGCTGTGCCTGGTACCAGTGTTTAGCTAAGGGATACAGAGGGAAGGACACAGCAGAAATCCTGGAAAAACGATTAATGGAGACAGCAAAGGGACAAACATTTTCTTAAAATACATTTTTTTAATTGTGTGTACGTACGTTCACATGTATGAGTGATGTGCCTGCCAAGCCAGAAGAGGGCAACAGATCCCTTGGAGCTGTAGTTAGAAGCGCTCTGACCTGGGCTCTAGGAAGTGAACTCGGGTCCTCTGGTTTTTGTTGTTTTGGTTTGGGTTTTTTTGTTTTGATTTGTTTGTTTGTTTTTGTTTTTGTTTTTCCAGACATGGTTTCTCTGTGTAGCCCTAGCTGTCCTATAATTCATTCTGTAGACCAGACTGGCCTCAAACTCAGAGATTCACCTGCAGCAGGACAGTGGTGGTGCACGCCTTTGATCACAGCACTCAAGAGGCAGAGGTGGGCAGATCTCCGTAAATTCAAGGCCAGCCTGGTCTACAAAGTGAGTTCTAAGACAGCCAGAGTTACAGAGAAAAACCCTGTCTTAAAAACAACAACAAAGATCCACCTGCCTCTGCCTCTCAAGTACTGTGCATGCACACCACACCCAGCTGAACTTGGGTCCTCTTTAAGAGCAGTAGTACATGCTTTTAAACACTGAGCCATCCCACCGGCCCCAGGACAAATGTTTTTGGCATGAATCAATGTTTTTTAAACTTAATACTCACACAGGTGTTTGCAAAGGTGCTGGATGGACCTGCCTCACTTTCAGGACTTCTGTCAGTGGCAACATTTCTTGCTGCTTAAACTGCCACAGACAGGGTACAGTGAGGAAATGACACCGCAGAGATCTCTGCTGCCCTTAACTGCACAGCTCTACGAGCTCCAAGTTTGTACTAAGCTCTCCAAGAAAGAGCCCAAGAACACAGTTCTTGTGAACTAAGTGAAGGGGGAAATGCTCTAAAGTAGCAGTTAGAAGCAGATATAAAGTCCAAGTCATTCACAGAGTACAGCCTCTCTGTGAAAAGCTAAGATGAGTGGCTTTTAGTCTGATGTGAAGAACAAAGTCTGAAAGTACCAGATTTCAACATTATCATCTGAATGATGACAAGAACCTGGCGGCTTCTAGAACAAACCTTCCTATTGAGTGAAGGATGGAGCTCAGTCTCATGTGCTTCCGTTTCAGATCTATGAAGGAAGAAGTTTGAGTGGTCTAATTTGTACAAGTTCAGACAAGAAAAGGAGGAGAAGCAGCAGCATTTGTTTGAACTCAAAAACACTTTGTCAAAGTACTTGGAGAAGAAATCTGTCCACCATTATGTCAGCACACTGCAAAAGCAATAGATGAGCCAGGCGGTAGCACACGCTTTTCATCCCCAGCACTCGGGAGGCAGAGGCAGGTGGATCTTTAAGTTTGAGGCCAGCCTGATCTACAGAGCAAGCTGCAGGACAGACAGGGCTACACAGAGAAACCCTGTCTCAGAAAACAACAACAGAGAGATGAGTCTAGGCACTCTGACTTGGGTTACATAGTGAGACACTCACTGTCTTAGGGTTTCTCCTGCTGTAAAGAGACACCATGAGGCACTGAAGAGATGGCTTAGAGGTTAAGAGCACTGCCTGTTCTTCCAGAGGGCCTGAGTTCAATTCCCAGCAACCACATGGTGGCTCACAACCATCTATAATGAGATCTGATGCCTTCTTCTGGCCGACAGGCATGCATGCAGATAGAATGCTGTATACATAATAAATAAATAGATATTTTAAAAAGAGAGAGAGACATACCATGACCACAGCAACTTTTATTAGGAAAACATTTAATTGGCTCGCTTACAGTTTCAGAGTCTATTATCATCATGGTGGTGAGCACTGCGGCTTGCAGGCCGACAGGGTGCTGGCTACATCTTGATCAGAAGGCAACAGAAGTGGACTATGACACTGGGCGGTATCTTAAGCACAGGAAACCTCAAACCCAAAGTGACACGCTTCCTCCAACAAGGCCATACCCACTGCAACAAAGCCACACCTCCTAATAGTGCCACTCCCTATGAGCTTATGGGGGCCAATTACATTCAAACTACCAGAGACACTGATTCATTTTTTTCTTTTTACAAACGATTATCTATGGGTAGGGCAAAGCACGTGCCGAGTAGGCACAAAGACCCGAGTTCAGGTCCCGGCACCAGCGGAAGGGATGTGGTAGCAGTACCTGTCTGTGACTGCAGTGCTCCTGTAGCAAGGAGAAAGGTGGAAGGAAGGAGCACACTCTCCAGCCTCTGGGCCAGCTAGCCTGCTCTGCATACAGGGAACAAGAGACCCTGGGGAAGGTAAGGACCAATGCAGGTTTTCCTCTAGACACATATCATGTGACACACTACGTTGCCATTTTCACCCCTTCCCCCTCTCCTGCTGGAACCCTCCTCCCCCAGCAAGTCCTCCTGGGTTTGACCCACTGGGTTCAATTACTTTCTTACCCAGGCATGGTCTGGGAACACAGTTGCTTAGTGGTAGAACGCTGGTCCAGCATGTCTGAGAGTCCATCCCCACCCAACCCAAGCACTCCCCCTCCCCGTACACATTTGGGGCCAGCAAGGTAAAGGCAATTGTTGCCAACCCCCAGAACCTGAGTTTGATATACCAGAACACACATGGTAGAGAGAACTAATTCCCACAAGTTGTCCTCCACATGTGCAAGCATGCACACACACACACACACACACACACACACACCACAATAATGTAAAAATTTTAAAATAAGTACATGCCTGTTCAACCAGAACTGAAACCCACAAACACTACCTCTATGGTACCCTCTATGGCCCGTTCCTCCCTCTCCCCTTAGTCTCCTGAAATCATTTACCTACTTTTTTTCATTATATTGTGGAGTATATTTTCTAGAATTTTATATATAACTGGAATTGTAAGTCAGAGATAGCACAGTGAGTTCCTTTTATGACTGAGTTTCTCAGTGTAAGCTAGTCCACAACTGTTGGTTATCTACTCCTCAGCAGATAGACATCTCAGCTGTCTCCAGTTGGGGGCTCTTAGGAACAGACACTCCTGAGTGTCCGTGTGGACTTGTCCTAAGAAAGGGCTGACACTGGGCCAAGACAGCCTCCCAGCCCTCTTCCACCAGTGCTGCACAGCGTGAAAGTGCCCCTTACTTATCTCAGTGATTCTACTGTACAACTTGTAAAGCCCGGCGATTCTAATGCTTAATGGCATAGCTCAATCTTACCACATCTGTCC